GGAGAAGTAGAATGAATAAGCATTTGTGCAGAAACAGTACAAATAAACAAAGTAAAAGAAGCCAAGTAGGTAAAAGTGAATTAAAAGAATAGACAATAGGAGACTTGATCAATATTAATAATGACTAGATTTTGGCCAGGTCTAATTACAGAAAATAATGAAAGATAATATATTTAGAGCATTAACAATGATAAGATACACTATAATTGATTATCAAGGAGATTTTTTAAAAATAGGTAATAGCGGGCGCGGTGGCTCACGCCTGTAATCCTAGCACTCTGGGAGGCCGAGCGGGCGGATTGCTCAAGTCAGGAGTTCAAAACAGCCTGAGCGAGACCCGTCTCTATCAAAATAGAAAGAAATTAATTGGCAACTAATATATATATAAAAATCAGCCGGGCATGGTGGCTTGTGCCTGTAGTCCCAGCTACTCGGAGGCTGAGGCAGGAGGATCCTTGAGCCAGGAGTTTGAGGTTGCTGTGAGCTAGGCTGACGCCACGGCACTCACTCTAGCCTAGGCAAGAAAGCGAGACTCTGTCTCAAAAAAAAAAAAAATAAGTAATACTATACACACACATGCACAAACATTATTCATTCAGTACATGTAGAAATTTGGAGGGATTATATTATATTTTTCTATAAGAATGTTACTGTAATTGACTCAATGCTGTAAAACCCAAATACGATTAACAAATGTGTGTGCATATGTGTTAAATTCTATTAAAGAAAAATCTGATACTTGTGCAGGTGAAAGCTTAAGGAATAGATAATCCTTAACAAGTTTACAGTTAATTCTGCAAAGCTAAAATAATCTAATAACGAACTGGATGAAATAGCTTCTAAAAGCAAAATCCAGACCAGTTTTATTTATGAAGATTCTGTTCTTCATGATTCTAAATGAGGTACATTTAGAATTTATTAGAGCCTGTAGTCCCAGCTACTCGGGAGGCTGAGACAGGAGGATCATTTGAGCCAGGATTTGAGACCAGCCTGGGCAAGAACAAGACCCATCTCCTAAAAACAGAAAAAATTAGCTGGGAATTGGTACACCTCTAGTCCAGTTATGGGGAGGCTAAGGCAGAGGATCGCTTAAGTCCAGGAGTTTGAGGTTGCAGTGAGCTATGATGTGCCACTGAACTCTATCCAGGCAACAGAGTGAGACTTTGTCTTTAAAAAAAAAGAAAATAATGATGCTTAAAGACTTCAGGCAGTTCAAGAAGTATTACTGGAAAAGAAACAGAGTAAAAATATCCTATGCCATGGAATTTTTATTAAAGCTGATATCTGTTTAATTAATCCTACTGTATTTCCATTCTCCTTGAAAAGAAGTCTTATCTGTATAAGAATACTCAATAATATGACCTATAAATTTAATATCAAATATATTTCAAATAGGCTGGGCACAGTGGCTCATGCCTGTAATCCTAGCACTATGGGAGGTGGGGGCGGGCAGATTGCTCAAAAGTCAGGAGTTCGAAACCAGCCTGAGCAAGACCCTGTCTCTACTATAAATAGAAAGAAATTAATTGGCCAAGTAATATATATAGAAAACATTAGCTGGGCATGGTGGCGCATGCCTGTAGTCCCAGCTACTCGGGAGGCTGAGGCAGAGATTGTTGCTTGAGCCCAGGAGTTTGAGGTTGCTGTGAGCTAGGCTGATGCCACGGCACTCACTCTAGCCTGGGCAACAAGCGAGACTCTGTCTCAAAAAAAAACAAAAAAACAAACTCCTGGGCTCAAGCGATCCTCCTGCCTCAGCCTCACAAGTAGCTGGGACTACAGGAATACACCACCATGCCCAACTAATGTTAAGTTTTTGTACAGGAATATCTCACTGCATTGCCCAGGCTGGTCTCTAGTTCCTGGCCTCAAGTGATCCTCTTGCCTCAGCCTCCCAAAGTGCTGGAATTACAGGCATGAGCACTGTGCCTGGTCCATGTTTTGTTTAAATGATGGCCTGTATGCAATAGAAAAAATATACAATAATTTCAAATAAATACTTATTTTGCATAGGAATACATGTGTATAATTATTATATATGATATTATTATGGGAGTTTTAAAATTTGTTTCATGTACTTGTGTTTCAGGTTATCTCTTTAAAAAGTTGGTTGTCTTATTATCCCATGCCCATTTAAGATTTAAATGAGACTCCTAGATTGCTGTGTTGCAAACTACATTTCCCAGGCGTTTTAGGTTGTCTTCTTTCCCTATATTTCATATGAAGTGAAAGGAGTAAGAGTAAGAGAATTTGATAAAGATATATGCAAAAGGAAATGAAAACCAATAATCTATAAGTGCCTCTTCTGGGTTCATCAAATATTCCCTATTCAAGTTTCTTTTTAATTGATTCTTACCAGTTTCCTAAGTTCTTGTGTAGTTGTCTAGAGAAGTGAGTCTTAAGGCCAAATTTCAGTTAAAGAAAAGATGTCTCCCTTTCTAATCCAGAAACCTTGTCTTATAGGTCATATTTTTTTAAACAAGTTCTGCTACCTTTCCATTATTCAAGTGTCCTTCAGATTTCCACCTCTTTAGTAGACAAGTGTTCCCCAATATTCCTCTGCTATAACCAAATTTCTCTGCTGTATTTCAGAATATAGGTCTCTGGGCCCTATTTGCTTTGGGAGATAAGTACTGATATGCAACAAAAATCTTTAGTATTATTTAATAGATACTTCAAAAAAACATGTAAGAATGGCCAATAAGCACATTAAAAAATGCTCAACATCATTATCATGGAAACACAAAATAAAAGCACCAAAAAAAAAATAGCTAAATTAAAAATATTAATAATACCAAATATTGGTAAGGATGTGGACCACATAGGCCCTCTCCTGGAGTCCCAACCAAGAGCCAGCAATCTTGCCTGAAGGCAAAAGAGCTCTCTGAGAAGGGAAAACAGCCCCACCTTCATTCAAAAACTCAGACGACTACAACTCCCCCACCTGCACCTACCAATTCCTAGTCCTGTTTTCCACGTGAAAGCAGAAGCAGCCAAAGGGTTCTTTATCCACTCATCAGTTGATGGGGACTTAAGTTGATTTCATATTTTTGCTATTGTGAATTGTGCTACAATAAACATTTGGGTGCAGGTGTCTTTTTTATAAAATGACACGTTTTCCTTTGGATAGACACCTAATATTGGTATTGCTGGATTGAACAGTAGGTCTACTTTTAGTTCTTTAATTCCCCTATTATTTCCATAGGGGTTGTCCCACCACCACCAACAGTGTAGAAATGTTCCCTTTTCACCACATCTGTGCCCACATCCATTGTTTTTTGACTCTAATAATGGTCATTCTGACTGGGGTAAAATGGCATCTCATTGTGTTTTCAATTTACATTTCCCTGAAAATCAGTGAAGTTGAGCATTTTTTCATATATTTCTTGGCCATTTCTCTATCTTCTTTTGACAAAAACATGTTCATTCATTTTGCCCACTTTATGATGAGGTTCATTGGGGTTTTTTCTTGTTGATTTGTGTGAATTCTTTGTAGATTCTGGATATTAGTCCTTTGTTGGATGTTTACTTTGCAAATATTTTCTCCCAGTTTGTAAATTGTCTATTTAGTCTGTTGAATATTTCCTTTGCTGTGCAGACACTTTTTAGTTTAAGTCCCATTTACTTATTTTTGTTGGTATTGTATTTGTTTTGGGGGTCTTAGTCATAAATGTTTTTCCTAGGCCAATGTCCAGAAGAATTTTCTTACATTTTCTTCAAGAATTGTTATAGTTTCAGGTCTTTAATCCACCTTGAGTTAACTTTTTTATATGGTGAGAGATAGGTTTGAATGTTTGATATTTAATCAAAAATTTGAAAATACAATGGTTGAATTTTTTTCCATTTGAAAAAAACTGTAAACCCACAGATTCAGTAAGTTCAAAGAACCCTAAGCACGAAACATGAAAACTACCTTAAGGTTCATCATGTTCAAATTGCTTAAAACTAAGATGAGAGAGGAAATATTAAAAGTAGAGAAAAAATATTCATTATATACAGAGATACAAAGGTAATGATGATACCAGTTTTCTACTTAGAAACAATGCAATGTATAATACAGTGGTACAACATATTTAAACTCCTGTGAGAAAAAAGTTATGTTGCAACCTATAATTCTTAGTGAAATCTAATTTACATAGAAGGTGAAACAAATACTTTTTCAAACAAAAAACCCAAAAAAACTGAAACAGTGCATCACCAAGAAACTTGCAATATAAAAAAAGTTAAAGAAAGTCCTTGAAATAGAAAGAAAACGATAACCTGATAAAAACCTCGATCTATTTAAAGGAAATAGGAGACTGGAAATGGTAATACATGAACAACTGTCACGTGGTCCTCTTCCGTCGGGAAGAGCGTCTCCTCGCGGTAGGAGGACTTTCCTACGCCTGCGGGTCCCAGTAGGCCCTGAACTCACCGGGACCTTCACAACCCCAGGCAGCAACCGCGAGGAAAACAGATTTCCCGAAACCACACAGCGGAAACAGGGGAAAGGGGCTCACCAGTGGGAAAACTAACAGCTAACTGGAAAAGACTTCCTCACCTCCCCACAGCGCTTAAGACACAATTCTCCTACCACACACACAGACAGCAGACAACCAGACACACACACACACACAGACCCCACCCACAGAATGACACAGACAGACACACACACACTGGCAGCTCCTGGGCTGCGGTGTTCTGCCCGCTGCGAGGAAGCCCCGCTGGGAGCAGACCCGCCCAGAGCCACACTGGCAGGCCAGCCCCGCAGGGCACGGGGGCACAACGTCGGGGAGACTCACATGCACGGCGGCCAGGCAGGCGTGAGGCCACGACGGATCCCGCGCTGAGTCCCTGCGGCTCCCGACCAGGTTTCTTGGGCCCGCTCAGCCCTCCGCCGCTCCTGGGCTTCCGCCTACCGTGGCCTCGACGGCTCGAAAGGGCAGACCGAGACATGGCCACAGAGGTCTGCCTCTCCCCAGGGCCTCAGGGACACGGTCCCTAGGCAACCGCGGCGGTCACTGTGACGCCAGGCGGCACTCCCGTGACACGCGCATGCGTGATTGTGAGGCGGCTGGGCATTCCGGAAGTGAGGCTTTGGCCGCCATGCCGCCTCACGCAGGCAGTGGAGGGCCATTGTGATGGAGCCTGTGCTTTGCATGCGGTGTCTAGGAGCGAGAAAAAGTCTCTGGTGGGGACTGAGGGCCAGACCCTAACCGTCCTGTCCTCAAGACCCCTTGGAGCCGAGCTCTAAGTCTGTTCCGGTTCAAGACCCAACTTTCCGGTGAGTGAAGAATACCTGCTTCTGGCTCCTTGGGATACGTCACGTTAGACGGTGTGGGCAGGTGCGGGCTCACATGGTGGTGGGGGAGAACTGTGGCGAGGGGGCCTGGCGTTGTTGGGTCACCTCACGTTACCAGAGTCCCCAAGGGCGGGGGTCAACCGACAACTCACCGATCCTGGTGTCTGCTGCCTGCCTCTGTGGGACCAGGGCCTACCAGCTATTGCCTTGTTCTCAAATGCCAGGGGCTCTGGCTTGTCCTCACTGCTGCTCAGCAAAGGGGGAAACACTGAGCTAGGCAAGTCCGAGGGACTGCAAAGGTGACCGCAGTGAGGCCACTGGGGGAAACGGGATCCCAGAAGGGCAGATGGAGCGGACCGGGCCTTTCAGAAGCAGGTCTGGGCTATTCCCAGACTGACAATGACCACAGGTCTGCTCCCAAGGAGCACTGAATGCCAGGAGCAAGTCAAGTAGAAGCTAAGCATACCTGGGATCACACAGGCCCTGTGCTGGAGTCCCTGGGAAGATCAGGGACTCCTGTACCTCTACTCACCCAATCCTTAGTTCCTTCTTCTCCCTGAAAAGGTTCTGTGGTATGACCCGGGCCCACGCCCTTGCCCCCAGGAACATGGTATGTAAGTGCATACCTCCCAGCCCCCATCAAGAAAGGGTAAAGTGGAGATGAAAGGAAACACCACATTTATTCGAAGTCAAAGGCCCGCCACTTTGGGCTACATCTCAACCAATGTGAATCACTCAGCCATCTGAAGGAGCATTTTATCCGAGGGTTCCCCTGTGGGCACAATCTATAGAAAACCAGATCTGCCTGATAATCTGGCATGTTTACCCAGTCAAAAAAAATGTATAGAGAAGGGAATCCTCATTATCGTTATACCCAGGAATATTGTCCTGGATGAACTGTTAGAAGTATTCAGTTCATAAGGTGGATGCAAAAGAAGAAAAATCTATGCCCATGAAAAAGTTTCAGGGCAACAACTGACGGTTGATGTGGGAGAGCTGGGAGCCCACACAGGAAAAATCACGTGAAGAGGGAAGGAGAACAAAATGGGTGAGGTATCCCCAAGGCCAAAGTTTCATTGAAACATACTGTTCCTTCCGTATGCTCTGCTTGACAGAGTCTCGCTTTGTTGCACAGGCTAGAGTGAGTGCCATGGCGTCAGCCTAGCTCACAGCAACCTCAAACTCCTGGGCTCAAGCAATCCTACTGCCTCAGCCTCCCGAGTAGCTGGGACTACAGGCATGTGCCACCACACCCGGCTAATTTTTATATATATATATTAGTTGGCCAATTAATTTCTTTCTATTTATAGTAGAGACGGGGTCTTGCTCTTGCTCAGGCTGGTTTCGAACTCCTGACCTCGAGCAATCCGCCCGCCTCGGCCTCCCAAAGTGCTAGGATTACAGGCTTGAGCCACCGCGCCCGGCCTGCTCTGCTTCTTAATCCTCAGGCCATGGAGTGTGTAGATGTGACCACCAGAGGAAAAGGGCAAGGGAGATAGCATCACCTCCCTTGACATCTCTCTGTACCTGTCCTGCACGCTGAGAATGGGTTCCTTCTGAGGTTTCTGTCCTCAATTGTGATGTGGTCTTCTTATGTTGGGAAAAGCGCCCCCACCTGTGGGGAAGTTACTCCTATGCCTGCTGGTCCCAGTCAGCTCCCCAACTCACCCAGGCCTTCACAAACCCATGCAGGAATTACACGGAAAACTGATTTCTCTAGGCCACACAGCCCACAGGGAAACAGGAGAAGGGGCTCAGCAGTGGGAAAGCTAAATTGAAATTAGCCCCGCCCACAGCACACAAAACACATTCCTCACACCATATACAGACAACAGACTAATACACACACTCTTCTGACAGAATCACTCACACACAAACACTTAGGCACACACATGCACACTCAGGCAGCTCCTGAGGCTGTGGTGTTCTGCCCCCTGCAAAGAAGCCACATTTGGAACAGACCAGCCCAGGGCACACTGGCAGTCAGCCCACTGGGGCACAGTAGCCACAACTTTGAGGGAGACTCACATACATAGCAAGGAGGCAGGCATTAGGCAGCGATTGATCCCTCAGTGAGTCCCCCTGGCTCCAGTGATAATGTTGTGGGTGACATACTTATGTTACTTCTTTGTGTGTCATGCTCCAACTTGAATGCACCATTGCCATTTTTCAAGAATTGTTGCTGGACTCATTCAACTTTATCACTTTGTGGTTCTGATGGGATGTAGCTCATTAAGGGCAATTTAGGATGCATGGTGACTGGTTACATAGCCTAATATTCTATCCCTTCAGCATCCTGTATTACACCCAGATCTTATTTTGAAAAAGTGTGTAATTATCTGTTTTAGATGACATTTATTATAGTACACCAGGATTCAATATTCTGTTTTTCTGACTGAGGCTTGCCATGAACTGCACACTGCATCATATTCTGTCAGTCATATCTTCAACATTATACTGTATTCCAGATCATATGACTCAAGTGTAAGGGCTATTTTCCCCTCAACCAGGACCTACCCTTTTCTGTTCTAGGTTCCACTCAAAGCTTGGTGCTTTGTCACTCTGTATTTGGGTATTCTAAGGTGTTAAATACGTTGCTTTTAGGTCACAATGAGATCTACCTGGAATTGTGCTTTCTTCTTTATGGTAGAGGATACATAATACACAGTTTGTCTTTTACTTTGGAGGGGTTGTCTTAGTATGCCCCTGACCACTGGATCCTGAAAACTTTACTAATGTGACAGACCTGTGAATCTTTGTAGATTTTTCTCTTACCATTCGGGAAACCCCTAACTTAAGGCTTCTAGTATGCATGACATCATTTGCCCCTGCTGTCTTATTAGATTTATGTCATCAAGGTAATTGATTATTGTGATGTTCTTCAGGGTATATATAGTCCAGAGCTCTTCATACTGTATTTTGACAGAGGTGGTGAAATCATCAATATTTTTTCTCTCCCTTACAAACTGTTTCTGGTTTCCTTTCCTGATTTGGTAGAAAAGAATACAGTCATTCAAATCAATGGATATATATGATATACTTGAGTCCATATTAATCTGCTATAGTGAAAATAACACTTCCAGAGGCTATTACTTGGTAGAGCTTGCAGTAGTCTACAGCCATTCTCCAGTAACATCCACCAGAGTAGTACATAAAATAGGCATATGATAGTGAGATATAATACTGAACACCAAAGTTACATCCTTTAGATCTTTAGGGTGGCATTAATCTCTGCCATCTCCTTGGGATGTGATAGCAGGTTTTGAGTTACCATTTTTAGTTTGAGGGGACAGGGATAACCTCAGACTTCCACTTGGTCTTTTCCACAATGATAGTCCTTATACTACAGGCCAAAGACCCAGTATGTGGAGTTACTCCAACTCCCAAGTATCCATAAAATGACAAACAGATGGTATATGGACCCAGTAGGACCACTGTAAGCTAGACTTTGGCCAAGAATCCATTTAATCCCTAATCCCTAGATACTCTTGTTCTAACATACTTGCCATGATGATGCTTTGGGTCTCTGGGTATCATTGTCAACTCAGACCCTTTATATGGTGGTGTTTGAAGTGTCTGGATGTTCTCCTTTTCCCAGTGTACAGCTGCTAAAGTGAATGGCCATCGTTCTCTGAGGCAGGAAGACCTAAGATGTCCCTCAGTGATCTCTGACTCCTGGCATTCATGCCATTGTGTAATCTCCTCCCTGTGAATGTGAGCTGACTTAGTAACTTGGTTCTACCCAATAAAATATGTCAAAAGTTATAGGCCACTTCCATTATTAAGTAACAAAAGTTTGTAACTTCCTACTTGGTAGCAGACTCTCTCTATTGACTCTCCCTTTTGCTGGCTTTGATGAAGCAAGACTCCATATTGGAGAAGTATACATGGTAATGAACTAAGATTGGCTTCTGGCCAAGAACCAAAAAGAAACTGAGACCCTTATAGCCTTCAAGGAACTAAATAGCCAGCAAGGAACTAAATCATGCAAATAATCATGAGCTTGGAAGCAGATCCTTCTCCAGTCATGTCTCCAGGGAGGCCCTGGCCCACATCTTGATCATGGCTTTATGAGACGTTGAATTCAAAGACCCAGCAAGCCTGTGTTCAAACTCTTGAACCTCAGAAACTGCAAGATAATAACTGTGTATTGCTCTCGGGTGCTACATTTGTGGTAGTTTGTAACACAGCAATAGATAACTTCCACTCCTTGTTGAGCAAGGAGTTGGTTACTTAGACCCAGTGGTTTTCTTCTCATTCTATTGTGAATTCTACTAACTTCTACTTTTACTTGCCTTTCCACAGTTCCTCTCAATTAAGGTTGGGATAGATAATCCCCAATGAAATGCAGGGAAATTTGAGAGTGGGAGGAATGCTGTTAGGAGATGATAAGAGAGGGGAGCCAGAGCCTTTCAACAAAGGCACAGAAGAATGGACCCATTATTAAGAAATTCTGATGGAAGGCAGAAAACTCTGTTAAGCTTTTGAGAGATAGAGGGTGAGGGTGTCAGAAATCAGTTCCCATGGCATGCACAAGTTAGGGAGTCAAATAAAAATGCCCACATTATTAGCAGGAACCTCAAAAGGCTACACACTCAGGAGAAGTAAACTATCGCTTGTGGATATTTGAGCTTGGGTTTAAGGGTGAACCATGCTCCTGGAAAAGACAAAAGTATTTTCAGCAGTAAGATATCTGTGATGGTTTTCAGCTTTTTCAACTTGGCTAAGCTATAAATTCTTCCCCCAGAATCTCCTTCTATATATGGTTTTGAGAGAAAGATGTCCAAAAGAGAAATTTGTATGGTATTTGGAAGGTGGAAGTGAAGCAGTACCATTACTTTGGAAAGTCTTCATGAATGAACAAGTGGCTATGTGGGGCATGTTCTCATGGCAAATAGCAGGAGCTGAGTCATAACATAAAAGCACATTTATAATTCTACCAAAAATGGCTAGGCATGGTGGCTCATGTCTGTCATCCCACCACTTTGGAAGGCCATGGTGGGACTTGAGCCCAGGACTTTAAGAGTTCAAGGTTACAGTAAGCTATGATAGCATCACTGCACTCCAGCCCGAGTAACAGAATGAGACCCTGTGTATTAAAAAAAAAAAGCCACATGTGGTGGTGCATGCCTGTAGTCCTAGCTACTTGGGAGGCTGAAGCAAGAGAATCTCTTCACTTGAGCCTAGGAGTTCAAGGCTGCAATGAGCTAGGATTGCGCCACTGCACTCGAGCCTAGGTGACAGAGACTCTCTCCAAAACAAAACAAAAAGTTCTATCAAATGATTTCTATTCACATTCCATTGGCTAAATACAAAGTCCAGGATACTCTTCCCTAAAAGGGCGAGTTGCATGTTTGCCAACCAATAATTTAATCCATCACTTATCCTTGCTGTAGAACTTGAAACCAACCCTCGGGGTAGATGGGGGAAAGCCATCTTCAGGGAGATGCCACTATAACCTAAAACTTGCTGTGAAGCCACCCAAGTGTGTATGAGGGTAAGTTGCTGGAGGCTGGTGATGCTGGATGTTGCACACCACAGGAGCCAGATGCTGACAACGCTGCATGTGCTACAGGAGCATGACAAGAGCAAAACAAAACTAGGAAGAAAAGAACACTCCTCTAGTGTCCCCCCAGCACTCTAATGACAAAGCTTAACATTATGCCAGCTAGCAAAAGAAGAACATTTATGGAGCCCAGTTCTAATGCTCAGAGCAAGCAATGGAGGATTTAGAGCTGAGGGGCAATAACCTGATGGTTGGCACAGTGTTTTTAAATTCCTGGAATATATTAAAAATAAAGGTGGGTCAGATTTAGATCAATGATGAAAATGTGTCATATATCAAGGATTATAATTAATCCACTTTTGTCCACAGAATTTAAGAAATTTACCTATAATATTCCTGGAAGAATACAAAAGAAACTGATAGCAGTGGTTGCATCTGTGTAGGGAAAGTAAGTAGCTGTAGGACTGGATATTAAAGATTTAATTCTCACTTTACTTTTTTGATAATTTTTGAATTTTGTAACATGTACTTTCATTACATGAAAACAAAACATTGAAAACATTTTTAAAAATATTAATGTAGGCCAGGTGCGGTGGCTCACGCCTGTAATCCTAGCACTCTGGGAGACCAGAGCGGATCGTTCAAGGTCAGGAGTTCGAAACTGGCCTGAGCAAGAGCAAGACCTCGTCTCTACTATAAACAGAAAGAAATTAATTGACCAACTAAAAATATATGTAGAAAAAATTAGCCAGGCATGATGGTGCATGCCAGTAGTCCCAGCTACTTGGGAGGCTGAGGCAGTAGGATCGCTTGAGCCCAGGAGATTGAGGTTGCTGTGAGCTAGGCTGACGCCACGGCACTCACTCTAGCCTGGGCAACAAAGTGAGACTCTGTCTCAAAAAAAAAAAAAAAAATTAATGTATTAGCAAAACACACACACATACCCTTGATACTCTTTAATCCTACTGTTTGAAATCTACCCAATAGAAACAAAAGATGTAAGGTTTACTACATGATAGTTTCAGTTGAAAAAGTAGAAACAACCTGAATGTCTATAATAGGGAATGGCTCAAAATACTGACATACATCCCATCCTAGAAATATTGTGAAACTTTAAAAAGAATGATTTACATCTTTATGTACTGACCAGGAAAGGTATTCATGATTATATTTGTTAAGTGAAAAAGGCAAGACACTGTGAAATGTCACTATGGGGGTAAAACCTCCTACATACACATGTAACAAACCCTTTCTGTGCACAGGTTATTTAAGCACAAAGAAAGGAGCAATACACACATATTGGTTATCCCAGGGATTTGTGGGAAGGGAAGAGATTGTTATTTTATTTCTGCTATATTTCACTGGTTTCAGTGAAAACATGTAATTTTAGAAAATTTATTCCCAATAGTGGTTAATACAATAACTTAGAAACAACATTAAAATCAGATAAAATTTTATCCTTTAAATACTATTTTGCCACTTGAAAAAGAACATTTGGTTTTCAAGGATTACTGAAATAAATCAATACTAATGAAACAGTGTTTTATCAACTTTTCCCCTAAAGAAAACATAGAAATTGTGTATCTCCAAAAACACTTTCATGATGCTATGCTAGGATGGGGAGGGAGGAGAGGAAACTTTACCAGCGTCTCACCACTATGAAGTGTCTGATGTAAATTAAGTTGTAAGCCATGATTAAAGGCCTTTACACATTCATAAGGTTTCTTTCCAGAATGAATTCTCTGATGATGTGAGGAGCTTGAATGATAGCTAAAGGCTTTCCCACATTCCTTACATTCATAGGGTTTCTCACCAGTATGAATTCTCTGGTGTTGAGTAAGATGTGAATGAAGTCTAAAGGCCTTACCACATACCATACATTCATGAGGTTTCTCACCAGTATGAATTCTATGATGTCTTTTGAGATGTGAACACTGTCTAAAAGTCCTTCCACATTCGTTACACTCATAGAGTTTCTCACCAGTGCGAACCCCCTGATGTAGAGTAAGTTGTAAGACATCACAAAAAGCCTTCCCACGTTCATTACATTCTTAAGGTTCCTTGCCAGAATGAATTTTCTGATGGTGAGAAAAGCTTGAGAGATAGCTAAAGGCCTTTCCACATTCCCTACATTCGTAGGGTTTCTCACCAGTATGAAATCTTTGATGTATGGTAAGATATGAGCGATGCCTAAAAGTCTTTCCACATTCTTTACATTCATATGGTTTCTCACCAGTATGGAGTCTTAGATGTTCAGTAAGTTGAAAGCCACGAATAAAAGCTTTTCCACATTGCTTACATTCATAGGGCTTTTCACCAGTGTGAAGTCTCTGATGTTGAGTAAGTTGTGATCGCTGTCTAAAGGCCTTCCCACATTCCTTACATTCATAAGGTTTCTCACCAGTGTGAATTCTCTGATGGAGAGTAAGTTCTGAGCCATAATTAAAGGCTTTCCCACATTCTTTACATTCATAGCGTTTTTTCACCATTATGAATTCTCAGATGTTGTGTAAGTTGTGAGCAATGAATAAATGCCTTCCAACATTTCTTATATTCATTGCATTTGTCAGCATTTTGAATTCTCTGTTGTTTAATAAGGAATGGCATATTAATTTCTGTGCATTCTATACATTCAGAAAGTTCTTTAGAATGAGTTCTTTTGTGGTAACTAAAGTTTTTTCTACATTTTTTACATTCAGGGATTTTTTCTCTATGATAAAATTCTTGAGTGAGTAAAGTATGTTGGCTAAAAATGGGCACATTTTCATAATTGATCATAAATTGCCTGAAATAACCCTCCTGTTGTCCCTGTTGTTGCTCAAAATGACATTTGCGTTCCCAAGTATCTCTGAAAATGAATCTCTCAGGACTATGGCTTTTCAGTTGTTCCATGCTAATCCATTGGGATGATTTTGTTTCATAAACATCCCTTTTTGGAGATAACGTCTTGAGCTTATTTCTTGATGTTAAGTCTGAAAGATAAGAAATATATTTTAATTTCTGGTTTTGTATTATAAGAGAAAATATCTATGGTAGCAATGAGAAAACTGAAAATAATTCACATAAGAAATAAAAGGCTTGGAGAGCTCTTCAGAAAGGTAAGGTTAGCACTGGCAAATGAGAGCTCTTGAGAGAAAGTGGAGAGTTAATTAGGGAAGTAAATCAATTCAATGGTGCTGAAATTTTGATATGTCTCCGAATCCACTTGGGAGTATGTTGCAATTAGGGATGTTTAAGAAATATTCTAGAGCAACTCAATCAGAACCTAAGAGAGTTGGTCTTAGAATGAGATCAACTTAATCATAATCCATAAGAATCTGTATGTTTAACACTCTCTATGAGGCCAAAGTATTATGTGGCCAAATGTTAGTTGTTCCCAAATATCTGTTTGCCCCTTTTATTTCAGTTAAACCCACTGCTTTTAGTTGAGCATAAAGCTGCCCGATATAAACATTGTATTTTCCAAGCTCCTTTGAAGCTGGGTATGCTGTGTAATTGGGTTCTGCCTAAAGAAATACAGAAGTATTACATAGTAGTTTCTGAGACCTTCCCTTAAGAGCCAGATGGCCCAAACCCTGTATCACTCATTCTCCCTCTTCCTCACCAAAGCTGATGGCAATGTGGATTTAGTGTCATGTCTGTCACATCATGGTTTTGCAAAACAGAGATATCCTTCCAGCTTGGACTTTTTTTTTTTAGACAGAGCCTCGCTTTTTGCCCAGGCTAGTGTAAGTGCCATGACGTCAGCCTAGCGCACAGCAACCTCAATCTCCTGGGCTCCAGCAATCCTTCTGCCTCAGCCTCCCGAGTAGCTGGGACTACAGGCATGCGCCACCATGCCTGGCTAATTTTTTCTATATATATTAGTTGGCCAATTAATTTCTTTCTATTTATAGTAGAGATGGGGTCTCGCTCTTGCTCAGGCTGGTTTCGAACTCCTGACCTTGAGCGATCCACCCGCCTCGGGCCCCCAGAGTCAGCTTGGACTTTAATCCAAGAGAAAATTATACTTCTATCCCTAGGCCATACATTTTATATTAAAAAAATAAAAATAAATTAAAAATTAAACTAAACTTCTATGTAGTTTCAACCACTACTATTTTGGTTCTCTGTCACAAGTAGCCTAACCCATTCCCATACTAATACAACTTCAAACTGAACTGAAATTTTAAAAATCCAACTCCTTATCATGAGAATATAAAGCCTTTGTTTAACAATAAGATTTCCCTTTTCTTCATTGTGCTATCACCATATTAACCTTCTTTCAAGAGTTAGGACATGGCAAAGCTTTTCCTATCTAGAGCTTTTCACAGGCTATTTCATCTGTAAGAATCTTTTTAACTAGATTTTTTTGTTTGGCTGGCTTCACTTCATCCAAGTCTCAGATTAAAAGTAACTTTCTCAAAATTGTATTCCAGATAATATCTAATTAAGTCCTTGCCTTAAGTACTACTGGAATGGCATATTTATTATTCATCTTTTTAATGTTTATTTTCTTACCCCCAAAAGTACTCAATGGTAGAAAACCTTTACAATATAATAAGCATCCCATAATCAACTGCTGAATAAATTAATTAAATGATTAAAGAAATGGAATTATGATGAGAATAAAAAGGAAATACAAAGTTTACAAACTGTTGAGAATCATAATCATTTAAAGTCCTTAAATTTGTAATAACTACCAAACATGTCTCCGTGATTCTACTCACCCCTACATCTACCACAGTGATTTTATTTTTTTTATTTTTTTCACAGTGATTTTATATATAAACACATATATAAATAAACCACATACTTGGTTATCTATAACAAACCACTCCAACTGAATCGCTAGGAACAGTAATAATCATTTATTATTGTTCTCTTTCAGATCTGAGGATTAACTGAGCTCAGCCAAGCAGGCATTCCTTACTTGGAGTTTCTCCAGTGGCTAAGTAGTCACACAGTGATCAGGCTTGAGTCATTTCAATATCTTCCTCACTCATAAGTCTGGTGCCTGGCTTGAGGAAGAAAAGCTAGGGACCAGAACAGCTGTGACTCCTGGGACTATCTGTATGTGGTTTCTCTATATGATCTGTCCAGCATAGCTGTTTCGAGGTAATAGATACCCTTTCACCTGACAGCTCAAGGCTCCGGAAGCATGTGGAGAGATGCAAGGAGGGAGGAAAGGTAGATGAGCAAATGCTAGGCAGTACTTTTATTACCTAGCCTCAGAAATTACACAGCATCACTTCTACCACGTTCTATTTGTTAGAAGCAAGTCACTAAGGGCTGTCTCATTTTCAAAGAAGGAAAGTTAGACTCTATCTTTTTCTGGGAGTGTATAGTTCAGTAGTGTTATGTACATTTACATTGTTGTGCAAACAATCTCCACCTTGCCAACCCAACATTCTAACCAGCTGGCCTACTCTTTGCAAGAGCTTCCTGCTTCCTAATTAAAACTTACTCACCTGGGTACCATCTTCCTGTCTCTTCCCTCACAACCATCCAGGGCTCCTTCCCTTGCTCCAGTGAGGAGATTACAGCTGGCTTAGAAATAGAAAGTCCTGGTTTTAAGAAAAGAAAGTGAGTTGAGATGGGAATGAAAGTACCCAAATACAGTGATTCAGAATTGATTAAAACAAATAAATCATAGGTCAAAATGGTTCTTTTGCCGGGCGCGGTGGCTCACGCCTGTAATCCTAGCTCTCTGGGAGGCCGAGGCGGGCGGATTGCTCGAGGTCAGGAGTTCGAAACCAGCCTGAGCAAGAGCGAGACCCCGTCTCTACTATAAATAGAAAGAAATTAATTGGCCAACTAATATATACAAAAAATTAGCTGGGCATGGTGGCGAATGCCTGTAGTCCCAGCTACTTGGGAGGCTGAGGCAGGAGGATTGCTTGAGCCAGGAGTTTGAAGTTGCTGTGAGCTAGGCTGACGCCACGGCACTCACTCTAGCCTGGGCAACAAAGCGAGACTCTGTCTCAAAAAAAAAAAAAAAAAAAAATGGTTCTTTTTTTTTTGAGACAGAGTCTCACTTTGTTGCCCAGGCTAGAGTGAGTGCCGTGGCGTCAGCCTAGCTCACAGCAACTCAAACTCCTGGGCTCAAGCAATCCTTCTGCCTCAGCCTCCCAAGTAGCTGGGACTACAGGCATGCACTACCATGCCTGGCTAATTTTTTCTATATATATTAGTTGGCCAATTAATTTCTTTCTATTTATAGTAGAGACGGGGACTCGCTCTTGTTCAGGCTGGTTTTGAACTCCTGACCTTGAGCAATCCACCCGCCTCAGCCTCCCAGAGAGCTAGGATTACAGGCGTGAGCCACCGCGCCCGGCTCAGATCATAATTTTTAAGTTATAGGATATATCGAGGAAAAGAGTAAGCATCACCTAGACTTTGCATCCTCTTCTGGGGAAGGGGTTAATGTATTTTGGGTTGCACACAGGATAGTTGTATCATGTTAAGCAGAACTGTGACCTTGTTACTGTCTTTATTCAGATATTAAGCATGATCTTAGGAGATGCTTATGGGTACCAAATTGACATGGGTGGACTTGTAATGGTTAATTTATGTGTCAACTTAGCTGGGCCACAATGTACAGATATTTGGTCAAACATTATTCTGGATGTTTCTGTAGAGGTGTTTTTTGGATGAGATTAACATTTAAATCAGTGGACTTTGAATAAAGCAGATTATCCTCCCTACTGTAGGTAGGTTTCATCCAATCAGCTGAAGTCCTTAACAGAACAAAGACTAACCTCCCCTGAGCAAGAAGGAATCATGTCAGCAGACTGCTTGTGGACACAAACTGCAACTCTTTGGGTCTTCAGCCTGCTGGCCTGCCCTGCAGATTTTGGATATCAAGCCTCAACAATTGCATGAGTCAGTTCTCTCTAGATAGATAGATAGATAGATAGATAGATAGATAGATAGATAGATAGACAGACAGATATAGATATATATGCATATGTATATATATTTACATAGATATAGATACACACACACACATCCCCTCCCACCATTCTGTTTCTCTGGAGAACCATGCCTAATACACTATCCTAGGAAAGGAAGAAGAAGAGGAAGAAGAAAAAGAAAAAGAAGAAGACACATAATATGAAGCAGCAATTCCAAGGTAAGGTTTGGGCCTCTTATCCCTTCTTCCCTAGGCAGAATACCCACAGTCATTTAGGCAGGGCCTAAATGTTAAAATATTTCTTTAACATTTAAGATGTTCTAGGCCGGGCGAGATGGCTCATGCCTGTAATCCTAGCACTCTGGGAGGCTGAGGCAGGAGGATCCTTTGAGCTCAGGAGTCAGAGACCAGCCTGAGCAAGAGTGAGACCCTGTCTCCACTAAAAATAGAAAGAAATTAATTGGCCAACAAAAAATATATAGAAAAAATTAGCCAGGCATGGTGGTGCATGCCTGTAGTCCCAGCTACTCGGGAGGCTGAGGCAGTAGGATTGCTTGAGCCTAGGAGTTGGAGGTTGCTGTGAGCTAGGCTGACACCACAGCACTCTAGCCCTGGAAACAGAGTAAGACTCTGTCTCAAAAAAAAAAAAGAAAAGAAAAGAAAAAGTTTATGGGTTAAAACAAAAAACAATAAGCTCATTATTTTGGCGGTTGGCAATTTGGGCTTGGCTTTCTGAGTGGCTCTCCTGCTAATCTTATTCATGTGACTGCAGTCAGCAGCTATTGGCTTGATGGGGACTGGGTGGTCCAAGATGGTCTTGCTGAAATATCTAGCGGTTTTTGCTGACATTAAGCTGGAGGTCTCTCTCCAAGTGAACTTTTATCTGCAAGCAAGCTGCTCTTAGCTTTTGAGAAATGGTGGTATCAGGGCAGGAAAAGGGCAAGAGCAAAAGCTGCAAGACCTCCTGAGGCTTTGTCTCAGAAGTCTCACAATGTCACTTCCACCACATATTGGTCAAAGCACATCACATGGCCCTGTCTAATAGTAACCTAGCCATTGACTAGCATTTCAGGAGAACAAAAAAAGGAAAGAAAAAAAAGTGACCTTTACCTTGCTTTTCACATATGCTCAGTAATGTTTCACTTTCCTTGGGGCTCTTAGAGAATTTCATGAGAAAGAGGGAGGGGAATAGAGGAGAGTTAAGGAATTATGAGACACCAACCTTTCTTGGACTGCAGACTGGCTAGATTGGAAGAAATTCTTCCCACCACACAAATTCTCATCATCTATCACACGCAAACTCAGATGGAAGTAAAAGGGATATGGGAGTACTGCTAACCCTTCTTAGTATCCAAGAGAAAGGCCAGGGTTATGGATATCCAGATCTGGAAATTTTCCCTAAATTCACAGCAGTTTCCTGGGAAGACAGCACTGGAATGACATGGTTCTGAAACATGGAACTTGACTTCAGAGAGTTCCCAAGGGAGACCCTCTGAAGAAGGAATCCTACTCCTAGTTTCTCCCCATCATGTCTTCCTAAGACTCTAAGGGACACTTCCAACTCCAAAAGCCTCATTTGAAAAACAAGTCTGTGCTTTTCTGTTTGCAAACTATATTCTACCATTCAAATATCTGATTCTTCTTTTGATGTCCATTTCTCTGCAGTTGGGGCCCATATGGCTACAAAGGGGTAAAAAAGAAGTACCTGGGAACTCATGGATACAGAGCCCAAGAGACAATACAGTCTAAAAACTGGCACGTAGGTGGTCACTCACTCCACAGATACTCCCTGTATGTTAAACACCAGGCAGAGCACTTTGGGTGAGAGTGCACTGAAAAAGACAACCTAGGCCATGCTTCATTGCAAGGTGACTCTGGCTAACACAGGCATTGATCGTAGTCTTCACAGACACAGACTCTCAGGGAAAGCTCCTTCCAACAGACCTCTCAGTCCCAACATAAAATCCAAAACTGCAGGTGGTCTACCTGTCACACATTCAATATCACAGAATTAAAAGCCTCTTCCAACACACTAGGTTAGAGCAGCACTGTCATATGATGGGTGGTCTCGAACCCCACAGTGTCGCACACCCCACATCACAACCAACCACGGTCACCCAAAAGGTCCTGCATCTGGCACAGCCTTGTCACCGCGTACACACCCCCGCCTCGTCATGACCACAAACGTTCACACGCACGTACCCGCGCATTCACAGGCCTGAGCTACAGGCCCCGCACGCCCTGTTCGCGCCCTGAGAGCTCTGGATGTCTCTCCGTGAGCGCCTCACGCACCAAGACCCGGCTCACCACTCGTAGCCAGGCAACTTGGACAGAGAACTTGGAAGCGGAGCTGGAGATCCGATATCTACCGCAGCGCGAAGGCCTATGGGAAATGTAGTTCAAGGCCGAAAACGCCCGGATGTCGAGAAGGCGCGCGTAGCCGGTGGTCCGGAGAAACGCGCCGCGGAGACACCTGGGAGGTACAGTCCGTGTGGGGAGTACGCAGGCGCAGACTGCTGGCCGGTGACCAAAGGTGAGGTTGGTGGGTCCTCCCGGGGCTGAGGAAGCGGGTGATGGTGGGACCGGTCGGGAAGGCCGAGGAGGGAGGCGGGAACCTGGGCTGGGGAAAGCAAGGAGGGAAAAGGGAACCTGGGCCGAGGAGGCTGGGAGAGGAAAGTGAAAGTCTGGGCCCCAGAGAAGGCGGGGAGAGAAGCAAGCACCTAGGCAGAGGAAAGAACCAGGAGCGCGGGCAGGGGAGCGCCGCGAAGGGAACCAGGAGTCCGAGGCGGTGTGAGCTCAGCGAGGGCAGGAATTTTATCTGTTTTTACCCCCGCGAGGAAAGCCCGGAGCCTGGAGCGCGGCCTGACACCGACAGGCGCTCAGTTTGTGTGGCTTTTTGTGCTTGTCCTTGTCTTTTGAGGGGGGGCGCGTGTGTTAATAACGTGTGAGGTTGTGGAACCGATTGTGAAAGTGGTAAGGTCTCCGTGCGTGTCCAGACAAGTTTTAAATTAGGTGCGAGTCTATTTGTATTGAGACTGTATCCGACTTTGGAGAGGAGACAGGATTGTGAGTGAAATTTTGTTACTTTTTGTAGAAGTATGTATGAGCACTGTGAGATTGTGCATGACATGAGAACTCATGGGATTATAACTGTGTAGTGAGTGATACAACTACGAATATGTGTAATTTTTGAAGTATTTTGTGTGCACAATCCATGATGACTGAATGCGCCTAATTGCATGACTGAGGTGGAGTGCTTGAGAAACTGGGTGCTGACTAGTGAGGTATGGTTGTTTGGAGTGTCTGAATATTGGCTATTTTATAGGCCTGTAGAATTTGACTCTGTGGCAATGAGACAAGTATAATAAGTAGAGATTTTTAAAATAGAGAAGAGAAGGTAAAATAATTTTCAGTTGGTAGGATCACATATTGGAAAACCTCATATTGACTAATAACTAATACGTTGAAATGAGGAACACCATAGGGAACACACACCAAAAAACCTTTCTTTTATAACTTCTGCTCAAAATTTCTATTTGGATGAGTTATTTTCCCTTTTTTTGGGGGGGGATGAGTTTTTTTCCTTTTGCTGGGATCAATAATTTCTTCAGACATTCTCTAGATAATAAAAAAATCTGTTGAACATTTAACCAGAAGATCAGTCTCATAATACTCATGAACCTAAATGAAATGTTCACTGTAGAAATCAAACTTATTTGAAAAGCAGAAACTCTCTCCCTTTTGCTGGAAGCCTGCAATATGAAAGGGTGCATGATCAGTTTCTTCTTTAATTCCTCTATCTCCTCTTTATTCCCTATAGGTAGGTAGTCTTCAGCTCCAATGGATTAGGAGCTGGCAAAGGAATGAGAAGTCGGAAGTCAGGGACAAGAAGAGGCTAACATGACTAATACTGCTATAATTTAGTGTAAGTCATCTCCTACCTTCTGAGAGAACTTGCTGTTGGGAACCTCCAGAGATACCCTTCCTTTCTCCCGGGCACAGCCTCTTCTCCAGCTGCCTCCTTAGTGCTTCCTCTTGGCATACACCTGCTCTGGTGGGGTTTGTATGTCCAGTTGGTTCTTTTGGATAGGATTCAAGACAATCAGGCAGCCTCCATCCATGGTGTCTAAGATGCTAGTGCTAAGGTGAGAATTAGCCACCTCAGTTACTTTGGCCTCCCCAAACCTGGAAACACATAACATTTTTGCCAAGAATTCTCTCGCTTTGGTTCCTAGTAGTATCAGGATCTGAGAGGCCCCTTGTGTGAGAAGAACCTACTTTTCTTCTCCCTAGAATACAACGTTCTAAACATAATTGACTCTCTTAAAGAGACATTCTCCTCTCTAACCTCTCAAGGTAGGAGTTAATTACAGCAAAACTTTATAGTCAGGAGCTTTACAAGATTGTATTTTAAAATGAGGGACTCACTTTTATTTGGATGATCTTTGGAACTTTTTAGCTGAGACTGAGGCAAAAAGATTTCTAAGTTAGCATCTTGTTAAAAATGAACAATGCAATAATTAGAAAACTCAGGGTTGCTGGAAAAAAACATTAGCAAATCAATAGGCTTTGCATACAATGCACATGTGTGGAGGGGGTGTGTGTGTTTAGAAAACAATGCAAACATTTTTACAGTGGTCATCAAAAATAAGAGAGAGAAAGGAAGTGACTTTATTAATTGTATGATGTGTTTTTAAAAAGCACATTTAGGCTGGGTGCGGTGGCTCACCCCTGCAATGCCAGCACTCTGGGAGGACGAGGCGGGAGGATTGTTCGTGGTAAGGAGTTCGAAACCAGCCTGACCAAGAGCGAGACCCTGTCTCTACTAAAAAAATAGAAAGAAATTAATTGGCCAACTAAAATATATAGAAAAAATCAGCTGGGCATGGTGGCACATGCATGTAGTCCCAGCTATTCTGGAGGCTGAGGCAAGAGGATCGCTTGAGCCCAGGAGTTTGAGGTTGCTGTGAGCTAGGCTGACTCCACGGCACTCTAGCCCAGGCAACAAAGTGAGACTCTGTCTTAAAAAAAAAAAAAAAAGCACATTTAAAAATTAAAACTTGAACAAAAAAAGGATAGGAAGGCACAACATGATAAAATGTCAAAACTTCCTAATGTTTCACACAATTCTTGAAACATTTCAATAAAAAATTTTTGATTTCTCTAAGCAGGTCTACTTTTGAACTAAAAAAAAATTTTTTTTTTTGAACTTTCTAAAATTCTTAGGAGAAAATGAACAGACCAGCAATTCTGAGAGAGAAAAATAATCAGGGGGAAGTAGCACTAGTTGATACCAAAATATGTTTTAAACTGTGATAACTGCAGGGTGATCCTGGCAATTCAGTAAACAGATCAGTGGAAATAAATATAAAGCCAACATCTATTCAAATATACAAAGGAAATAAAATATATGATAAAGGTGGTAGCTTTGTTGAGTGAAGGAAATAGAGATTATTGAATGAACACCTGTGGTCCTAAACTAGATGACCAAATAATTTTTTAAATTTTATTTTTGCATGAAAAAAAAAATACAGAGTCAAATGAGAAACTATATAAAATTATTTGTAACTCGTACCACAGGTAAAGGATTAATTTTCTTCCTTTAAAAAAGTCTACTACCAATTCGGAAGATGAAGTAATAGAAAAATGAAATAAATCATAAAAGACCATCATTCATAGACAAGAAACTAAAAATATTTTTTAAACTTAGGAAAAGACATTTATCTTCTTTCATAATAAGAAAACTAAAAACTAGAACCACAATTTACACCTATTAGGCAAGCATAAAAAGTTTGTATCAGTAGTCTTCCTCAGGGTGTGAGGTGACAGATATTCTCGAATATTGCTAGTTATGGTATAAATGGTACAGGTTTGATGGAGAGCAGCTTGGAAATAGTTAATAACAATAGGCTGCTTAGGCTAGAAAAGGTAGTGCTTGAGGGGAGAGAAGCTTGTGCAAAATCCATCCTGCTGGCCCAAGAGCCTGTATCTCTGGCCTCAGGGATAAAACAGGATTTCTCTAGCCTGTTCTCCCCTCTATATTTATGCAGGAGGTGCAGCGTAGACAAGGGCCAATACAGGGGAAATGGACGCAGTTTTAATTGAGTTATAAGTCATAAGAGAGCTATAAAGCATGTGTGATCTCATGGTTTTTTGTTTGTTTGTTTGTTTTTTTACTTGGCTTTGCCTTCTTAGGAACTGCCCCTTTCTAAAGAGGAGCACAAAAGAAAGACTGGTCCTTTCTTGCACATCTCAAAACCATGGCTCAGGTGAGGTAATGGTTCCTCTCTCCTTTCTGAAAGTGTCTTTTTCTTTCCTAAGAATATTTGAGTATTTGCCTTTTTTGTCCTAAATCCTCCTGCCTATCTTCTCCTTCAGGAAACTGGTCCCCATCTCTTCCTGTATTGGTCAGATAAGCCTCTATCTTCCACAAATACTCCTAATTTTAACCAGTATTCTCTGTCTATACCAAATTAGAAAAAATTAGCTGGGCATGTTGGCACACACTTTAGTGCCAGCTACTTGGGAGGCTGAGGCAGGAGGATCACTTGAGCCCAGGAGTTTGAGGTTGCATTCAGCTATGATCACACCACTGTACTTTACTGAAGGCGACAGTGAGACTCTGTCAAAAAAAGAATTAATATTGCAACATTATAGTTTAATTTACTGACACCTCCCATCTTTTGTTTTTATGTTTGCCATTATGTGATATTTATGTTTGTAATAAATTTTGTTAAAATGTTTACTTTGAACCAAAGGTCTATAGTGCACAGGCCAAATCCTGTCTGCTTCCTGTTTTTGTAAAGATTGTGAACTAAGAATGGTTTTGTGTTTGAAAAAATGTAAGAGAAAAATATTTCTGACACATGAAAATTTTAATGAAATTCCAATTTCAGTGTCTGTAAATAAGTTTTATTGAAACACAGCTTTGCTCATCATTTACATATTGTCTATGGCTACTTTTCTACTAAAATAGCAGAAGATGTTTATCAGCTACTACTTGAAACAGTCATCTCTTTTAGAGAAGAAAAGGAATGAATATAATGTCTTATGTGTAACTTTTCTTCTCATCTTCTTTGTTTCCTTGATTTTAGTTATCATCTGGTGTTATTTTTAGCTTGAGGATGAAGAATTTCCTTTATTAGTGTTTTTGATGGTGTAGTATTGCTAGTGATGAATTAACTCAGGTTTTATCTGAAAATATCTTATGTTTTATTTTTAATAAATAGTATTGCTAGATATAGAATTCTTGGTTGATGTTATCTTTGGCTTTTAGCAGTTTGATTAGGATGTGGCTAAGGGTGGTTTTCTTTGGTTTTTATCCTTTTAGGGTTCATTAAGCCCTTCGAATATGTAAGTTAAAAGCTTTTGCTAAGAAAAAAAGTTTTTGCTAAGTTTGGATGTGATATCTCAATATTTCCTTAAAATTTATTCATACTTTTTCTTTTTTCCTCACCATTCTGGAACTCCAGTTATGTTGTGTTGGATTACTTTGAAATTCACCCACAAGTCTTTGTGAGTCTGTTCATTTTTCTTTATTTTTTCTTTCTATACAGGTTGTTTATTTCTGTTATTCTGTATAGAAGGTTATGATTAATTCCACTTTATATTTCTGCTCTGCTATTGAGCTTATCTACTGAATATTTCATTTCAATTATTTCTAGCTCTAGAATTTTCATTTGGTGCTTTTTTTCATAGTTTGCATTTTGAGATTCTACTCCATGTTTCCCATTATTTCTTTGAACACATTTAGAACAGCTGGTTTCAAGCCTTTTTTGGCAAAATCCAACAGAGCCCACTAGGAGTTAGTTTCTATGACTGTCTTTTTGTGACTATGGGTCATTTCTCCCACACACTTGTTGTTTTGTTTCATTTTGTTTTATTTGCATGTGTAGTAATTTTTGCTGGAAAGCTGGACATCATAAATAATATAGTAATCTGAATTCTGTTATAGTCCTACATTCTTAGGATTATTGGCAGTTAACTTGTTTGGAATCAAATTTCAAACTTTATCTCCCCTGTCATTGTGAAGCAGCTATTATAGCCCCTTGATTCTTTTTTTGATTTTTTGAGACAGAGTCTCCCTCTCTTGCCTGGGCCAGAGTGCCATGGCGTCAGCCTAGCTCACAGCAATGTCAAACTCCTGGGCTTAAGCAATCCTTCTGCCTCAGCCTCCCGAGTAACTGGGACTACAGGCATGTGCCACCATGCCCAGCTAATTTTTTCTATATATTTTTAGTTGGCCAATTCATTTCTTTCTATTTTTAGTAGAGACGGGGTCTCGCTCTTGCTCAGGCTGGTTTCGAGCTCCTGACCTCAAGCAATCCACCCGCCTTGGCCTCCCAGAGAGCTAGGACTACAGGCATGAGCCACTGTGCCCAGTGCCCAGCCATAAATGGTAGTTTTTTGCTGCAAAAGCTGTTGGGTTTCAGGTTCTCTGATGCAGAAAAGCCACAAAACTGCAGTTGCTGTCCTTCAAGGATAAGCTCTTGTCCAATTTCTGCCTGTTTTGTCACTTTCCAGTACTTTCCTAGTTTTTTATTGTATATTGTGTCCAGATTTTATAATTATTGTCTGAGAGAGTGTTTTCCTGACCATTTCACTCTGTTATTGCTGGATGCTAAAGTCCTACCACATATTTTAAAACCATTTTCTTCCTATGTAACATATTCATCTTGAAGGGGAAACAATTTATCCCTTAGTGAAGCCTGAGAAATTGTTATAAGATGTATCTTATCTGTGTTCTACCTGTAATACTTTCTTGCAGATTTGTGTTTACACATACTTTCTTGCAAGTATATGTTACATGCCTGTGGGGCGTGTTTTATTTGTTTTGACACTTTAGTGAACTAATATGTGTTTGGACATAAAGTGATTTCACAGTAAATATTTTCAGAATGTTATTTAAAAATTCAGTGACAGGTATTTCTACCTTTTTTTTTTTTTTTTTTGAGACAGAGTCTCACTATGTTGCTCAGGGTAGGGTGAGTGCTGTTGCGTCAGCCTAGCTCACAGCAACCTCAAACTCCTGGGCTCAAGCAGTCCTCCTGCCTCAGCCTCTTGAGTAGCTGGGACTACAAGCATGCACCACCATGCCCAGCTAATTTTTTCTATATATATTAGTTGGCCAATTAATTTCTTTCTATTTTTATAGTAGAGACTGGGTCTCGCTCTTGCTCAGGCTGGTTTCTAACTCCTGACCTTGAGCAATTCGCCCACCTCGGCCTCCCAGAGTGCTAGGATTACAGGCTTGAGCCACTGCCCCTGGCCCTGTTTCTACCTTGATATTTGTTTCCCCCACAATATAAATCATAAAATGGGGAAAATGATTATCTTTCTTAACAAGTTTTTATATGAATGCCAAAGGAACAGGGTCAAAAATAGTCCCAAATATCTAGTCAACCTACCCTGATTTTATAGTTCCATCCATTTCAGGGATCAGTGTCATTCAAAGATGTGACTGTGGACTTCACGCAGGAGGAATGGCAGCACCTGGATCCTGCTCAGAAGACTCTATATATGGATGTCATGTTGGAAAACTATTGCCACCTCATCTCTGTTGGTAAGAAAAACTCCTTTTAAAACTTTTAATACATGTATTTCCTCTCAAATTGCCTGAAGTATGTATAGTCTTGAATTTCATGGGTAAGAGGTGATGAGTTTCTTTTGGTTGGCAGAAAGAAGGATTATATTCTTCACTTGCCCACTTCAAGCTGCTAAGTTCATTACACAATTGGGTGTTCTCAGTTTGCAGTACTGAACCATGCACCTTACTTGTTTTTCAATGGTGTTAAAGCATAACAAACTTAAGTCTTATTTTCCTTTATCAGGGTGTCACATGACCAAACCTGATGTCATCCTCAAGTTGGAGCAAGGAGAAGAGCCATGGGCATCATTTGCAGCTCTTACCTGCTTAGGTGAGTTTCTGACTCCGAGGTAGATGAAATCTAGTGGAAAGTTAATTTAAAGGGGTCAAGTGGTAGGTGGGCTACCTTTGAAATGTTTTAGGAGTATCTTTGAAGACTTCTGATCTTTGAAATGACCTTCATGTCTATAAAACTTAAAACCAGACTATTAAATACCACTCTCTCCAAATACATTCTTTCCTAGTTTGCTTGATATTATCAAAGATATTTGCCACTCTTAACTTATTCAAAATGTACTATAAACCTTCTTTCTTTTAGATATTTTTTTTATTTGTATCTCTTTTTCTAGCATTCTCAGTCCTTGCTATTGTGATAGATTTTTTTTTCTTCCAGGCATTCTTAAATCTGTCTTTGAAAAAGAGAAAATTCTTGGTTAATGTTCCTATCCTTAGTTACTTACCATTTTCTTTTTTAACCTTTCCTTCATAATACCTCAGATTTGTTTTCTGTGCTAAGTTCCCATTCTCACCACAAATCTAGCTGTTAATTTTAAAACTCACTTGCTTCAGCCTGGACTGGTAACTCCAGACTCACCATTTTCTTCCATTATACCTTTGTGGTTCATTTTATATGATCATTGTTCCTGAAATTAATACCTGGTTTGGATAAAACAACAGTAACTCAGTTTTTATTCTGATTCACTGAATGCTTATTTACAATTTGGTCTGTTTTCTTCACCACTATAGCTATATCGGCTGAACAATGCCTGACACATAAATAGTCACACAGATTTTACTTTTAAAATAAATTTGTGTTATTTCACTGGACTCTCAGTCTTATTTCTCCAATTTGTCTGCAAGTGATCTGCCTTTAATTTATAATAATCCTACCCATTCTCAGAACTTAAGCTCTTTGTTTTATATAGATGGCTCTAATATCAACAAACTCAATGCATTTCACCCGCCTTCACTCCAGTTCTTCAGGAGTTCTACAGTCTATCTCCTCACCTATTTTGTGACAGTGTGTCAGAAATGAAAATCACTATTATTCCCAGCTCTTCAATTCTTTCCCATTATCTATTTCTAAATTATTTTGTTCCCTCTGTTATCATTTCTTATGGGTCTTTTCACAATTTGTGTTATGTTTATCAGCCTGTGAAATATGTTGATATCCTCTCATATTTGCATTTCTCACTGACATCCTACAAAATGACAACTTATTTCATGTCTTCATTATAATTTTTGTCCTAATTCAATGTATATTGTTACTTTTCTAACAAGATGTACCATCACTTGTTCCTTATTTTTTTATTACTTATATGAAATTAGAATTCCTCTTCATCACAATAAGCCCTCATCTGGTCTTTTCAACTTTATCTTGGAGAAAATTCTTGCTTATTTGTACTTGACCTAGTCTCCTAAATGGTCTCCATAAATGTAGGGTTTGTCATCACATAGGTCCTTTTCATTGTTGTTGTGTTCTCCCTTCCATGTACTATCTTATCTTTTAAGTCTCTTACTATGCGTTGAATAGTTTGAAAAAAAAAAAAAAAAAAAAAAAAAAAAAAAAAAAAAAAAAAAAAAAATAAGTCTCAAGGTTTCTCCATGAACTGTTCCTTGATTACTTTCACATCATATCTACCTTTGTTTTTTCTGAATTTCTGTGCTACCTATTAACTGTAACACAAACATACATGAAACTGTTAAAAACAATTATATAATTTGATGCTTGATTGTACAAGGTTTATGCTTAAGGATTCTTTCCCTAAAGATAAGATGCCCTGGCCGGGCGTGGTGGCTCACGCCTGTAATCCTAGCACTTTGGGAGGCCGAGGCGGGCGGATTGCTCAAGGTCAGGAGTTCAAAACCAGCCTGAGCGAGACCCCGTCTCTACCAAAAATAGAAATAAATTAATTGACCAACTAAAAATATATATACAAAAAATTAGCCGGGCATGGTGGCGCATGCCTGTAGTCCCAGCTACTCGGGAGGCTGAGGCAGTAGGATCGCTGAGCCCCGGAGATTGAGGTTGCTGTGAGCCAGGCTGACGCCACGGCACTCACTCTAGCCTGGGCAACAAAGTGAGACTCTGTCTCAAAAAAAAAAAAAAAAAAAAAAAAAGATAAGATGCCCTTTGAATTTTTATCACTGTAGTATTTAACATGTTACGTATTAAGTAGTTACTGCTTTAATTGTTCGTGGAGCTATGTAGGGGAGGAAAGCATGTACTATGAGAAAGGATTCCTATCACCTCTGCTTTTTTCCCTTAAATAAGGCTTTAGAATAGAACATATGCATTTTTTAATGAAATATTTATGTCAGAGTGCAAGATTGTTAAAAATTTCTTAAAATGTTTTTTCTAGACCATATTTATGTTCAAATTTTAAAGAAACAGAGCTTAAAGTGGTGGGGAAAATATGTGAAGGGTTTTTGAGATCATGGACGGTAGGATTTCCTTGAAGATTCTCTAAATTTGAGTAGAAATAAGACTGGAAGGCAAGCTAATTGATTAAAAGAACATTAGCACAGGCTTGTCATTAGGAATAAGTAAGGTGTTTATAAGCAATAGTAGGCCTGATACTAGGCCTGACTGAGGCTAAAATTACTTGTTATGGGTGAGATTTGTCAGCTATGTGGACAACCTTAAAAACTCCTGTGAATATTAAAAGTGAATCTAGATGATGTAAAAGTTTTTTTTATAGGAGAAATCCCTTGTATGTGTTAGTAGGGGGCATAATGGACTCAAGGAAGAAATAGAGTTTTGAGCCTAGCTTTAACATTGTTTCATTAGATGAGGATGATTGCAACGTAACTAAAGTCAGAAATAGCTATAAGTTTATAAGACAAATGAAGGATAACATTAATTAATTGAGCAATTTTTTATATGGTCATGCTGGAGACTCAGACTTGTGGGGGGCGGGGGGAATGGGCATTTATTGAAACCTTAAAATCTGTACCCCCATAAACATGCCGACAGTAATAGGGTATTGGGCAGGTGGGAGGGGGAGGGGGGCGGGTATATACATACATAGTGAGATGTGCACCATCTGGGGGATGGTCATGCTGGAGACTCAGACTTGTGGGGGGAGGGGGGAATGGGCATATAAAAAATTGGGGTGAAGGAATATTACTGCACTGGGGAAAGAAAAGCCAATCTTTTCCTTAAACATGAAAAACAAAGCAACTGAAAAGAGGAATAGTTATAATTGATGGTCATCAGAGTTTTGTTATTGAATGATTTGAGAAGAATTGATTTACCAGCACTCAGAATAGAGCAATTGAATATATTCTGATCTGTTTTAAAGTTCCTGTTGGAAGTATTTTCCTAATTCTCCCCTTTGAAGAGAAAATGATTCCCAGGTATATGGAGGATTAGAGCATAAACTATAGCATTGTTTTTCTAAATATAAGAAAATTAATTGCTACATGAAGAGTTTAGTGTGTGGAACAATGGGAAGTGTTTTACCACATTAATCTAGGGGTGCATGTATAAAAGTATATGCAATTTTTATTCTCCATAAGTAATCTTTCGTCTGATATTTTCCCTGAATAAACATTTTACTTATTTTTTTTGTCCATTCTACTTCCAGTTTAATGCCTTTGATAGTTTCACTTCATTGTCTCTGAATCTACTTATCTAACCATCAGTCCTTTCATCATTCTTTGACTTCTTGGTTTGTTTCACATTCTCTATAAAGTTCTTGTGCAAAAGACAAAGAGGTATTAGTAGTGTTTATTGCTTATTTTTTCATCCTTTTCCACACAGAAGCCATTTTTGTTAAGGTTCTATGTTTTTTTAAATCCAAACAGAGGGTAATTTTTCCTTAGTTTCTTTTGGCCTCATATGGTAGATTATAAGAAAATTCCTTTCCATAGCAAATGTGTTAAGAGTCACATATTGTTATTAATTATATTCTTTTCTAGAAGAAAACTGGAAAGCCGAAGACTTTCTGGTGAAATTCAGGGAACACCAAGATAAGTATTTTAGATCAGTTGTACATATCAACCACAAAAAACTGGTTAATGAGAAGAATAATATATATGAAAAGACATTTACTCTAGGCAAAAGCCCTGTTAATTCAAAAAATCTACCTCCTGAATATGATACCCATGGAAAGATTTTGAAAAATGTTTCAGAATTAATCATCAGTAATTTAAATCCTACAAGAAAGAGACTTAGTGAGTATAATGGATATGGGAAATCATTCCTCAGCACTAAGCAAGAGACAGCTCATCCTGGAGTCAAATCCCATAATCAAAGTGGTAGGGCTTTTAGTCATAATGAAGTGCTTATGCAATATCAGAAAATGGAAACTCCAGTACAGTCATTTGGATATAATGACTGTGAGAAATCATTCCTTAAAAGAGGAGGCTTAATTACACATAATAGAGCTTACAGAGGGGAAACACCATCTGTATACAATAAAAAGAGAAGAGCAACCAATATTGAAAAAAAACATACCTGCAGCGAATGTGGGAAATCGTTTTGCAGGAAGTCAGTATTGATCCTGCATCAGGGAATTCACACAGAGGAAAAACCCTATCAATGTCATCAATGTGGAAATGCATTTAGAAGGAAGTCATATCTCATTGATCATCAAAGAACCCACACAGGAGAGAAACCCTTTGTTTGTAATGAATGTGGTAAGTCCTTCCGCCTCAAGACAGCCCTCACTGACCATCAGAGAACACATACAGGGGAAAAGTCATATGAGTGTCTGCAGTGTAGGAATGCTTTCAGATTGAAGTCGCATCTCATTCGTCATCAGAGAACTCACACAGGAGAGAAACCATATGTTTGTAATGACTGTGGGAAGTCTTTCCGCCAGAAGACAACACTCTCTTTACATCAGAGAATTCATACAGGGGAGAAACCCTATATTTGTAAAGAATGTGGAAAGTCCTTTCACCAGAAGGCAAACCTTACTGTACATCAGAGAACTCACACAGGGGAAAAGCCCTATATTTGTAATGAATGTGGAAAATCCTTCTCCCAAAAGACAACCCTTGCTCTTCATGAGAAAACCCATAATGAGGAAAAACCATATATTTGTAATGAATGTGGGAAGTCCTTCCGCCAGAAAACAACCCTCGTAGCACATCAGAGAACACATACAGGGGAGAAATCTTATGAATGTCCTCATTGTGGGAAGGCTTTTAGAATGAAGTCATACCTCATTGATCATCACAGAACTCACACCGGAGAGAAACCGTATGAATGTAATGAATGCGGGAAATCATTCAGTCAGAAAACAAATCTCAATCTACATCAGAGAATTCATACAGGGGAGAAACCTTATATCTGTAATGAATGTGGGAAGTCCTTTCGCCAAAAGGCAACCCTCACTGTACATCAGAAAATACATACAGGGCAGAAATCCTATGAATGTCCTCAGTGTGGGAAAGCCTTTAGCAGGAAGTCATATCTCATTCATCATCAAAGAACTCATACAGGAGAGAAACCATATAAATGTAATGAATGTGGTAAGTGCTTCCGCCAGAAGACAAATCTCATTGTACATCAGAGAACTCACACAGGAGAGAAGCCCTATGTTTGTAATGAGTGTGGTAAGTCCTTCAGTTATAAGAGAAACCTCATTGTCCATCAAAGAACTCACAAGGGAGAAAACATAGAAATACAATAAATGATGTGATTTCTTTGTGAACCCTTTCCAAATTATAAACCTTTAGTTTTAAAAAGAAAAGCATGCTTGAACAGGTTAATGTAATTTTAATCACAAATGTAATAATAGTTATTAACTGAAAGTACCAAAACACATAACTATTTCTCTGATGTTTACTAGCATATAAGATGGATGTTATCATTATTATTGAACTCTATCAGATATGAAGCTAACTTTTAAAGTTTTCAACTGCTCCTGCTGACTCAAATAGTTTATTTTTTAAAATACTTAATATGTGCAGAGGCAAGTTACAAAACAATTACAAGCATCATTCTCCATAAGAGAGAGAACATATCTATGAACTGTATTTCTCATTACACTCTATGTAACATAAAGCAGTTAGTTGCTACTTCTGTAAAGATTACTACTTTCCTACCCTATAATGTCATAAAGTAGTTTTTGCATGTTTTTTAACTTTATATTTTTTATTATACATCATGAATTCTTTTGTCTTGTTTCAGTGAACATTTTTAAGATTTGTACATTATTGCATGTGGCAGTAGTGTATTTTCATTTTGTCTATTCCATTTTAAGAATATACTGCTATTTATCCTATTGATGGATATTTGTATTTTTTATAATTTTGTGTTATAATAAATATACTGCTATAAGTATTCTTGTTTATGTCTTTTGGGGGTATTTGTGTATATTTCTGTTGATTTTATACCTAGGACTGGAATTAGTCTGAGGTGTATAAGTTTTTTCAGCATTGGTAGGTAGTGCCAAACATCTCAGACCTTTCTTAACATGAGATGATTCATTTTGGAAAGAAACAGATCTAACTAATCAATGTGGAAAGGTCTTAGTAATCATTCAAACTGGAGAATTCCTACTAAAAAGAAAGCTTATAATTTGATAATTGTGAGAAGGCTTTTAGTCATGGACATATGAATGCAATAAATGTGGAAAGGCCTTTAGCTGTCACTCAATCCTTACAAAACACAAAACCAGAGAATTCATATTGGAGGGAAATCCTATAGTTGTCATAATTTGGGGGCTATTTTAGCCATCGCTTGTATCTTACTCAACACCAAAGAATTAGAATTTATATAAGAGATAGGGATGTAAATAAGGAAAATAGATGAGTAAAATTTGAAAGTACTCACAGTAGGGAGAATTATGAAAAATATATAAAATAAGCCTTAACAATACCTTAATAATACCTTAATATGTTTCACAGACATAAAGGTTTCTGAAAATCCCAAATAAAAAAAAAATTACTAGAGAGATTTTGAGAATTGGAAAGCTGCTAAGATAGTAACTTCCACAGCATCTTTTCTGTGAAAATAGTAAGCTCAGCAGCAACTTGAAGAGTTTTATTAAAGGCCCTTTTGGGGAAAGATTACTTTTTTATTATTATTATTTTGAGACAGAGTCTCACTTTGTTGCCCAGGCTACAGTGAGTGCCGTGGCATCAGCGTAGCTCATAGCAACCTCAAACTCCTGGGTTCAAGCAATCCTCCTGCCTCAGCCTCCCGAGTAGCTGGGACTACAGGCATGCACTACCATGCCTGGCTACTTTTTTCTATGTATATTAGTTGGCCAATTAATTTATTTCTATTTATAGTAGAGATGGGGTCTCACCCTTGCTTAGGCTGGTTTTTAACTCCTGACCTCGAGCAATCCGCCCACCTCGGCCTCCCAGAGTGCTAGGATTACAGGCGTGAGCCACCGCGCCGGGCCAGGAAAGATTACTTATAACCAACACTTAGTACTTATATGAAATCATTATATGTAACAAAATTCAGTAGGAATTTAAATTCAGTTTTTCAAATAATTTAGAACTATAAAGCCATATCTGAATAAGCAGGTAGATGGTTTGTGTTTCAAGTATCTGACATTAAGATTAAACAGGCCCTCTGGCTTATAGAAAGGGACAGCCATTGCCAATCAGTAGTAAATGGAAACATGCTTGTCAGTCTTTATGTTGCAGATAATTTCAGAGCGAGAAAACCCTAGGTGATGGAAAAAACAATAAAAATTTAGACTTGAAAGGGGTATAATATCAAATACATAATATCTTGTGTAGATTGAACTTCGTTAAATTTGGCCTTAATAATTTGTATTTATGCTTAAAGATTTTTTAACAGTACAGGCAGGAAAAACAGAATAAAGTAACTACAACAAATAAGTGAAATTACATTTATATTCATAACTGTGAGGACCTACGGATTATTTCATTTGAAAGTAGATTTGTGCTTATAGGTGAATAAATAACTACTGTACACTAACAGTGGAGACTAGCAAAAGAATAATACTCATGGCCAAGGATGCAAGCCTGCCTCATTTTCCTAAGTGTTTAGCATGGGTCTAACTCTGTAATCCCCAACTTCTAGGCTATGGCCTAGTACAGGTCTGTGGCCTGTTAGGAAATGGGCCACGTATCACTACCTTAGGTCCACACCATATACCCCGACCCACAACACCAAAACTCCTCACCCTCAGTCTGTGGAAAAATTGTCTTCCATTAAACTGGTCCCTGGTGCCAAAAAGGTTGGGGACCACTGGTCTCACTTATTGCTTTTTCTAGCCTTAATCAATTAAAGACTTTGTAATATGTGAGCCATATTCTCTTGGACTTTCTACTCTTCCTCATTTTTGCTTTCCCAGACATTTCAGTGGCAGCCATGAAAATAAAAAGTATATGTGGTATCTCTGTATGTGATGTCCTGTCTCCTGATTTACTATGTCATGAAATAGCCATATTTTGTTTGCAGTGGAACATTGTATCCATATGCCCTTTTATTTTTATACATATATAGGTCTTGAGTATGAAGAACTAGAATGCATGGTGTACCTACCAATGGGCAGTTTTTAAAAAAGCCAGACTTTGAAAGTACAATTATGAACCCAGAGATGATTATGGGTGTTTTCTTATCTAAGAAAACTCTCAGTATAGGTTATATAAACAACTCAGGAAAGTATTTGCATAGTAATCATTGGACATCTCTCCATATTTATGCTCAGAGTTTTGTCTGTGTTTTTTAGCTGGCCCTTTTTTGTTGATATCATACTTTTAACATGTTCTTTGCATGAAGAAATTATGAAGTAGTTTATTAGGAAACTTGCTGTGGCTGCATCATATGGTAATTCTACATTTAATTTTTTGAGGAATCTCCATTCTGTTTTCCACAGTGGCTTCACCATTTAACATTCCCAATGGCCATGCACAAAAGTTCGTATTTCTCCACATCCTTGATATCACTTACTTTCCATTACAATTTTTTTTTTTTTTTTTTTTGAGACAGAGTCTCACTTTGTTGCCCAGGCTAGAGTGCCCTGGTGTCAGCCTAGCTCACAGCAACCTCAAACTCCTGGGCTCAAACAATCCTCCTGCCTCAACCTCCCAAGTAGCTGGGACTACAGGCATGCACCACCATGCCCGGCTAATTTTTTCTATATATATATTAGTTGCCAATTAATTTCTATTTATAAGTAGAGACGGGGTCTCGCTATTGCTCAGGCTGGTTTCGAACTCCTGACCTTGAGCAATCTGCCCGCCTCGGCCTCCCAGAATGCTAGGATTACAGGTGTTAGCCACCACGCCCGGCCTAAAATTTTTTTTATTATAGTCATACTAGTGGATCTAAAGTGGTATCTCGTTGTGATTTTGATTTGCATTTCCCTAATGATCAATACTCTAGGTCCTCTTCATTCTTGAAGAATATTTTTGCTGGAAATAAGATTTGGGATTAACAGTTCTTTCATCAACACTTAAAAGGTACGGTCACTTTTTTCTGGCCTTCATGTTTTCTCCTGAGAAATCTGTTCAAGTTTTGTTCCTCTAAAAGTAAAGCTTTGTTTCTCTCTTGCTACTGTCAAGATTTTTATTTTGTGTTTAGTTTTCAGAAGTTTGAGTATGATGTGTTGTGGTTTTGCATTTTGTGGGGTGGGAAGAAAGTTAACTCTATTTGAAATTCATTCAGCTTCTCAAATCTGTCTTTTGTCAAATTTAGGAAGTCTTCAGCTTTTATTTCTTTTTTTGTTGTTGTTGTTGAGACGGAGTCTCACTGTGTTGCCCAGGCTAGAGGGCCATGGCGTCAGCCTAGCTCACAGCAACCTCAAACTCCTGGGCTCAAGCGATCCTTCTCCCTCAACCTCCCAAGTAGCTGGGACTACAGGCATGCACCACCATGCCCAGCTAATTTTTTCTATATATATTTTTAGTTGGCCAATTAATTTATATTTTTAGTAGAGATGGGGTCTTGCTCTTGCTCAGGCTGGTTTTGAACTCCTGACCTTGAGCAATCCTCCCACTTGGCCTCCCAGAGTGCTAGTATTACAGGCCTGAGCCACCGCACCCAGCCTATTTCTTTGAGTACTTTTTCAGCCATCTTTTTCCTGTCCTTCCAGGATTTCAATGACATGAATGTTAGATCTTGTGTTATAGTTTCCTCATTCTCTTCATTTTTCTTCCAGTCTATGTTCTCCCTTGTTCAGATTGGGTAATTTCTATTGTTTTGTATTATAGTTCACTGATTCTTTCCTGTATCTCTCTACTTCTGCTCTTTGTCCATTCATTGAGTTTATTTCATTTATATTTTTCAATTCTATACTATCTATTTGGTTATTTTGTATATGTTCTAATTCTTTTCTGGACTTCCTATTTGTTAAGAATTTGTATTTCATTTGTTTCAGGTGTGTTTGTGATTGTTAAAGCATTTTTATGATATCTGTGTTATATATTTATCAGATAATTCTAACATCTCTGTCATCTCCATGCTCCTTTGTGGCTTTTTTCCCCATTCAATTAGAGATTTTCCTAGGTGTTAACATGATTGATTTTCAGTTGGAATGGAGAATTTTGTCTATTATGAGATTCTAGGTCTTAAACTTTGTTTCTCTAACACCACTCTGGCATGCCATTTTACTGTGCCATATAGTATGTAGAAATCCAGGTTTCCTACTCACCAATGACCCCTGGGGGATAGGGGGGTCCTCCTTACTGTCAGGTATACATGGGAGTTCTGGCTCCTTAGTACCTGCCTTTTTATACTTCCCTAGCTAAGAGAGATAGGAATGCCTTATTAGTGCCCTCCATATACACAATGGAGGTAGGGGTGGCCTTGTTGAGTTGGGCAATGGTGAAGATACTGACTAAACTACATCTACTCTGACACCAACCCAGCAGATTGTTTGGGCAATATCTCTTTCCCTCTGAGTGGGGGGATAGAAATCTGGATTCTCCACATGACTCCAAGGACCCTGCTAACTGCTGTCTGAGATGAGAGTCCTGTTTCCCTTCAGTCTTCCTGAAACCATCCTGGTAAGGAGGTTGGGGAGCCTTGTTAGTCTAGTCAGAAAAGTCTAGGTTCTCTACTTGGCCTTTGCTAACATAGATGTGTGGTACCAGTTTGTTTTTCTGTGGTTTGTGGTTGAAGTAGGGTAATTATTATCTACAAGTTATATGTCTTGCTAAGCTATCCTTTTCCTGGTCTGTTGTCTACAGAGAGCAGGTTTTTTTTTTTTTTTTTTTTTTGAGACAGAGTCTCGCTTTGTTGCCCAGGCTAGAGTGAGTGCCGTGGCGTCCTAGCTCACAGCAACCTCAAACTCCTGGGCTCGAGTGATCCTTCTGCCTCAGCCTCCCGGGTAGCTGGGACTACAGGCATGTGCCACCATGCCCG